CAAACCAAAGGCTCCATCCATTTACTCAATTCTAAAGTCACTTAGACACATTCTTAAAGAGAACAAAGGGCTTATTTCCCTGTAATTTGACTGATTTGTCCTTTAGACACTGCGGGGATAGATACTTACTGGAGAGGGATAAATATTTTTAATGCAGATACACTACAAGTGGAATTTGTAATTATCATCAATAATAATTAATAATTGCTATTAATCATTAGCCAGTTACTAATCAGTATCAACTAATCATTATTTAGCTATTAATCACACTCACCTAAGTATTAATTTTTCATTAATTGATGAGTATTAACCATCTAAGAGTTATAATAAATTATTATTAACTACCCAAAAGCAATAAACTTTTCCTTCACAAAGGGACACTTTGCACATTTTTCAAAACTTCTTTCATATTTATTTTCTTCCTCATACTTTTAAGCAGGGAAACCTTGCTCCCAGGGATATGTTCTCTGATTATTTGGTTGCACAGTCTGTATTTGTGTCAGTACCAGCCTGACACAAAAAATCCTATATCCTTGATTTGTCCTGGTGAATTAACACACTTCAATAGACAGTGATGCTCCAAAAAAAATAAATAAATTAAAAAAAAAAGCCAGTCACTGAGTTTGTGCTTCAGTATTTCAATATAGCTTTTGTCATACTCCAAATAACTGAATGTCACTTCAGGAAATTCCAAGACATCTTCAATCAAAGCACTTCAGAATTCTTTCCTTTTTGATGTTCTGACATACACCTTTAGCTTTCTTAATCCTGAGTATCAAAGAAGTATCTACAGTGGTGCTAACAGGATATGCCACCCAGGAATTAGAAAGCCCTTTCAATGTCCTGAGTGCTATCCAGACAGAGGCAATCTGATGCCTAATAGACCTTGCAGATTAGTTTGTGGAGAAGTGAAGATTAGAGTATCTGTTTCTTCTAAGTATATCTATAGCTTTGCATATCCTAGAGTGTGGAGAGTCTGTCAGGAATACTATTTCATTTTCTTTGGGCATGATAGAAAAATATTAAATTTGAGGGAGTTGTGCCAAGCATTCAGGCTGTACAACGGCTATGGAAATCCAGGAGTCTTCATCAAGAAGACTTTACTAAGGAAAAACAACATTAAGGTTTTTTTAAGGAAAAATGGTATTGACATTCATTTTCATTTTTTAGCTCAAGTTGCTTCTACTCACTAAATTCACGTAAAACAGGATACGAAAAGAAGGAAAATGAAGGTAATAAAACTGAAAACTCTGTGATTTCAGAAGCCATCATGTATTACCCAAGGTTAGACTGTGTTCATAAATGCATACAATTCACAATTTAATACGACTAATACAATTTATTGCTGCTGAAAAACTTTAAGTTTCAAAAAAAACCAACACAGAAATGCAGACTGGTATATGATGACCCATTGCTTTAGGCAAAAAAGTACAAAACCAAACACACGGGAACTAAATTTGTTTATTTTTAAGGTATTCTACAAATAAAATGAAGGTTTAAATGATCCTGAGCTGAACGTACCTGCTTATATGGTAGGCGGTCAATGACACATAATGTGAGGGAGATCATTGAATCTCCAATTAACTGACTTCCAGTTGTAATTTGGGTCTTATCCTTTTCTTCAAGTAATGGAAATACTGTAGCCATGCTGGATCTGTTTCAATCTATATTTATTCATTTGCTTTTTAGAGCATAGTAGCTTTTCTGGCTATACCTTCATTCAAATATTGGAAAAAAAACATAGGAGGAATAAACATGCCTGGTCCACAGCTGGTATAAATCAGTGCAGCTCCTCTGTCTTCAGTGGAATGACACCAATTTATAGCAGCTGAGGATTTGGCTCTTGGAGCCAAATGATGAGCCAGATGAGCACAATGGGATGTGAAAAGAAGGCATAATGTGGCCATAAATTTGCTCAAAAGCTCTTCACATTTCAATGATAGTCTCTTTGTAGAATTCAATTAGCATCGCTATTCCTACTCATAAATAATATGCCCTTCCTGAATAATTTTTTCTTGTTCTTTTACACTATCCAGAGGCCAAATCTTACAGCTGCTACCGAGACTAAATTCTATCGATTTCACAAGATGCCTTCAGTATGTAGGCTGGACTCTTTGAATATCTAAGTTAAACAATATGAACTTGGGAAGCTGTCTTTGGAGTGCAGAATCTAACATTTGTCAGATGTCTCAGCCCCTCGCAAGTTCAACCCACAGTGCTGCCTTATTGCAGTAATTTTATTTTTGCAATTTATCACTTACATTTCATGTTGTGTTAGATTTCATGTGCTGTTTTCCTGATGTTGTGCTAAAAAAAGTGCATTTTTGTTTGTTAATAGTATGCTATAAATCAATAGATAACACAAAAAAGAGTCAGAACCAAGGATCTTATTTACTGTTTGGTAATATCATGAAAAATTGTCAGAAAATTACAGGAATGGGGATTTTTTAATCTTGTTTGTTGTACAGCAAATGAGAAAGTCATTAAAAACAAACAGTTTCTGTTAGTGTGTCACTTGCAAACACTGCTGCCTTTAAATGTTTATTAGAATTTTCAGTATATGTGGTGTTCAAAACTAAGAAAAACAGATCCAAAGCCCAGCAATACATCATTACTGGTTTTATGTAACTTCCTGCCTATTTAATCTTAATAGCTGGTTTGAGTATTTTGACCGAGTCAACAGCCTAGGAGGAGCAGTAACTGTGATCAAATTATAGTCCCTTCCCTGTCCTTCCTGGGCTGAAAAGTCATGGCAACTGCAAAGATCAGATTGTTATCCACCTTCTATGCTGCCATTGCTTGCATTATTTAGGTACTAAATCAAGACTCCTTTTCCTGCCTAGCAGAGAGTGATACCTGCATCTCAAAAGTGGCTGACTTTCTTGAGCCTCTTCTATGTACCATGCAGAAAGTTTTGCAAAATTATACTGTTTGTTGTGCCACCCTAATATTCCACTTAGGGCACATTGCATGTTTGGCCTTTTCCCAATTACCTCTCAAATTTCATCTTTTCACTTTGCTTATCCTACTTTCTCTTTCAGTCCACTTTTTTTTCCCCACACAGTTAGTAATGCAACATGTGCCTGGTCTCTCCTCTCTCCTTTCAAATTCCTCCTCAACAACCCTTCTTAGAGATCATCCACAAATTCTAGCCAGATGTTTTAATGGTATTACTAAGGAAACAACATGAATGATAAAAATAAAAGACTAACATCATCCTCTGGATATGAACCTTTCTAAGAGCATTACAAAAGATTTATCAGCATTTTTGTGTCTAACATATATGTCCAGTCATTGACCATCTACTTAGTCTGTAAATTCGCAGGGCAAGAGCTATGTCTTTTGCATTCTATAGAATATGGAGCTGGTTGCAAGTGCTTCCCAAAGACACATAATCACAATAAATGACAAACAGTGCTCAGACTCCTAAGCAGTCCTTGGGCTAGGAACACGTAAAACTTAAGAACATTCAAAAAAGAAACTACAAGAGCTGGAGGATATAACTACAAAACCACAACATAGCACATTGAACTGTTGAAGAGAAAATAGATCACAGGGTGTAATATTTAAGGAAAAGATATCCTTCAAAATAAAAATTTACAGTGTATTGGAAAACTCTTGCCCAATATAGAAAGTATATTAAACCATGATAGAATTAAAAATGTTCTAACAGTAAAATTAATGACAAAATTAATAGTGCCAGAATTTATCAAAGTCATAGTGAGTTTTAAGATGAACTCTACAAGATTTTCTGTTGATTTTATTTCAGCAAGAAAATCTTCTCAGGAACATTTTAATCAATGAATATAAATATCCGTTAAAAAAAAGACCCTCTGATTTGAAGGACTAAAGCTGCTATTTGCTTCTGTGGTTTGTGATTTTTCATTATGTCTGATTTTTGTTTTTTACACCCAGTCTTATAATTCTGCAAACACAGAAAAAACTTGCAAATTTTGCATGTCAGTTTATCCTAAACCAGTATTCAAAGTGAACCACTGTTTTTGTTTGGTGCTATTGACTTTGACAACTCAAAATGAATTGCAGCAAGTTTTGGATGGTCTTATCTGGTCAGATACACGTCAATCTGCTTCTTTAGCCATATATCAGAAATGGTGTTTTTGTTCTTTCCTCTGACAACAGCTGTTACATACATGAGCAAAGAGCTACTTTAGCAAACAAAATTGGTTATGTATTTATCATCTTACTCTGGCCTTCATTCTTTACTGCCTGTGGCCGTTTAAGTCTGAACAAAATGGGCATAATGAAACTGTTTCATTTTGGCAGTATTTTATTCTCATACCACTCGGTAAGCAATCTTTAAGCAACAGAGATTTGAGCACATTCTTTCCTCTTACCCTCATTTTCCAGCTAGGGTGCTAGTCCAGGATTTTCCCTCTTCAACAAACACAGGGCAATCTATTTTAAAAAAACTGTGAGAATAGAGGGTAAATTTTTGTTTCAATTTCTTTTTATTTTCAGTGATACCAGTTAGACTTAAAAAATCCAAACAAAAAGTTTTTACTTCAGTTTCCCATACTTAAAGCTTTAATCCTGTGCCAGATTCTAAGTGAATTTATTCTACTGGCACTGCCTAGATGCCTGAAAAGAAATCACAGGAGAACCAAAGTATTTTTTTCTTCATCAGGCAGAAAAAGAAAAATTATCCCTTTTCCTCTCAACTTAACTTGAACTCCCTAAACTGCAATGTTTGCCAAAAGAATGTCCTCCAATCCTATTTGATTTTTTAATCTATTACTAATTAACTAAATTAACTAAATAATGTAAAGATACTGAAAGTGGAAAATAAATTATTCCAAAATTTATTGCCAAAACCATCAAAATCTGGTGAAGATCTGTCTTTTATATTTCACTGGAGGCTAACAAAGGCTGTAAATAACATACGGTTAAAAAAAGAGTCAAATGAGCACAGTAAATAATTGGGATTCACCAATAAAATGTGACAATTTTCTATGGGTCTGGATGATCATATGGCAAATTTAAAATGGGAATTTCTCTTACTTCACCAATTTGCTTCCCATTACAATGTCACAAATGGGATGAAATCCAGATTGTGAGTGAAGCTGTGAATTTTCATGTCCAAATTATTCAAATTCTTAATGTTTGATTAAGAGGAAATATCAATATAGAGCTGTGGTAATCTTTTACTAGGCTGATGATGGCTATATGCTGAGGTCCCACAACTGACTGTAAAGATGAAAATTATTATATCTGAAGGAATCTCTCACAGAAATGTCGAAATAAAAACCTCCTTTTCTTTTCTTAGAAAAGCCATTACAGATTTGTCTTTTCTAATGAATCAGATTATGAAGATTTTTAAAAATTCTTTGTAACTTAAAACTATATATAACAAAAGCATTAACAAACACAGAAACCAACATTGTTACATGAGACTTTTGTAAAGAATTCTGCTATAAGGTTACCACCATATCCCAGACCTTAGAAAGGAATAAAGGAAAAGCAAAAACTGAAAGCTTTTGAGAAACAATTGCCCCTTAATCATTTTTGTCTGCTCATTATCATCTCAGTATCTCAACCTCTGACCTGAAGGTAATGCTTTATATTCTTTCTTCAGGTTTTCCCAAGAGATCAGCATTTGGAATAGAATACAGATTCTGAAACCACCTTCTGAAGCTCACCCCAGTGCTTTGATTCCTCTGCAAGGCTCAGAAACAGGAGGAAATAACCCCCTGGATGTCAGAGTCAATTCCTAACACCACTGAAATCGGGGCGCCATGATGAACCCCCAGGTCTAGAAAAGTCATCCTGTGAAATTTGCAGAGAATCTGTGTCCCGCTTCCCTGGCTCTAACAAGATTTGGACCTGTGTGTCTGCAGAACAGTTTATGCATTCAAAATTGCTTGTTTCTAAGTTGTTTTACTAAGTCAAGAATGACCTTAATAATATCAGTCTTGGTTAATTTTCTGTTGTTTGAGTGATACTATTCCATAATGTTTCAAAATAATTATATGCCTAATGTAACTATTTCTTCACACAGAAACCTTTTTTGTCAAGGGAAGTTTCTTTGAGCAAGAGGACCCTTGTTCCCAAGCCATACACCATTTTGTATTGTGTGAGATGTGAAAGGAGAACACTGTAGGTCATGTGCATTCTTAAACACAGGCTATTAAACACATATTGAGGCACAGAAACATATATAGATGGCATTCACAATTCCTGCTTAGTAATATGGTATTAACATATATAAAGGGATAACTAAAGGATATTGGCAAATATTGTGCCTTTTAAACAGTCTCGAACTTTCAAATATGAAGGAGGCATGAAACACTCAATTCGCACTGTGACATTTGAGATCCTTACAAGAACATCTTAAGTAATAATTTCATCTAAATATAGATATTAATTAGGCAATAGTTGGCTAAACTACAAGTTCGATGAGTTTACTAGATTAATAACTGTTCTAGGGGATTTTACTAATTTTTTATTTTACATTCTGATACTCCTGCAGTGTTTTTATCCGGTTCCACAACACAACGTTAATGTCAAAGCCAGTGAAAATTGCTCATGTGTTTAAGGCTAGGTATATGCTTAAGTGTTTTGCTTCATCAAAACACTTTGCATATTGCTGCAGTCAAACATCCCTGTACTTTCTGTGCTTCTTTTGTGCC